AGCTGTAACCCAAGAAAACTCCCTGTGTGAAATGAGGATCCTTGGCTTATGAACAATTACTTCTGTATCCTCCTGATGGACTGTCCAGTGTTCACATTTCAGGTGCCCACCGTTGCTATTGCTGTCGTGTAGGTTCCACTTTTCTTGAATCGAAGGAAAACAAGGGCCCGGTAGAGATCATGTGGTCTCCTGGGAATAATGTCTTTGAGCCGGTACCAAAACAGATGTAACATTATTATCCAGGTGCTTGGGGCAGCACATTTTTAGGATAAAATGGTTATTTTGTTGTTGTTGTTGTTGTTGTTATTGCATAGAAAAAGCACCAGGGAAGGTAGTTCAAGGGCAGAATCTGTGTAGACTCTAACATGGATCAAACACTTTGTTGGGTGGGCGATCATAGCCAGCAACGATGAACTAAGTAACTCAATGGGAGGGCTTTGAAATGAGAGAGGTTTTCCTCCAGCGCATAAGTTCTTTAGAATAATGTTGATTTGTTTTTCAAGATATAAACCAGTGTTACTTAGTGAAATCAAGGTTATCACTCATGTATGTCAGAACTAATTTATTGAAATTTGGCTGGAGGATACCTAATTCATCGTAAACAATTTCTATACACTTAAGCTGAAAATATATCATTTGTGAAAACATTCAAGGCCGCTATAATTTCCATCCGTTCACAGTGAAATTTTTATAAAACATGTTTTGTTGCCTGTAGTTTTGGGAAGATTCCTTACCTCAATATAGTTATGTATTCATTTTTCACAGCATAGTTCAGTCATTCCACTCCTAGGTTGAAGATCCATTGACTTTACTTTTTTTTATTATTTTAAAGATTTTATTTATTCATTTGAGAGAGAGCAAGCACACCAGCAGAGGGAGAGTTAAAGAGAGAGGGAGAAGCAGGTTCCTGCTGAGCTCCGAGCCCGACCTAGGGCTCTATCCCAGAACCTGGAGAACATGACCTGAGCCAAAGGCAGAGCTTAACCATCTGAGCCACCCAGGCACCCCTTCCTTGACTTTCTTAGGCATAATGTCTGCATTTGTGGGAATGCATATGTGTGTGCTAGTTGTGAATCCAGAACCACCGCCCCCCACGCTAAATTGTATTGTTCTTTGCTTACATGTCTTATCTCCTCTGTAAAACTGGGGACTTCTCAAGAGCAGGAACCACCTCTTTCTATCCCAGCCCAGCACATGATCCACAATTGCAGGCTCCTGGATCAGCACCAAGGATCAAGGAATGAAAAAGACAAAGGCTCTCCCTCGGGAGTTCATTCTGAGGCACTATTAAAAATGTCTCTGCCTTTATGTTTCCTTTTGTCATTGAGGAATTCTGGAATGTAATGGTTAGAAAGGAAACTAGGGTACTTCTTTGTATGTGATCTGAAGCTCTCATGTGGTAATTGTACAATTTTCCTTCTGTTTTTTGAATTTAAAATCCTTACATAATCATTCTTAGACGAGTCATTCATAGATTTAGCTATTATCATTTCATCGCTCCGAAATATTTTCTCCAATGTGGCTCCAGTTCTGAGAGCATCTACTTTGTAAGTAACACTAAGTACTATAACAAGATAAAAATTAACCCTCTTAGTGGCCTCTGTCTGTTTTTTCATGTTTTAAAACATTTTCATGTTTTATTTTCCTTTTATTCTTATCCTATTCATATCAAGATGCACTTTATCTTCTTTAAAGTCTCTTACATTTATTTATTTTTTTTTATTTTCACATTTTGCTCCCCAGAAGACTTTGAATTTTTTTTTTTTTTTTTTTTTGGTTTTCCCTTCAACGATCTCTTTCTGTTTTACCATGCATTTCCATTTTTGTCAAAGCTACTTTTCAAGGTTTTGAAAAATTAATTAGGCTTCCTAATACTTTTTTTTTTTTAATTTGTGGAATTGTTTTCCTAGTGTTCTTAATATTGCTTCCTGATGGGACAGCTGGCACCTTCACCTTGTGGACATTACTACATTATAGCACCATAATTGGTGTTCATAGCAATGACCTTGAGATATCAAGGAAATATAAGTTTTTTTGAAGCATACTATTTTGCTTATTTACTACTTTTTGGAGGAAGATTTTTCTCCTGTATAAGAAAATGGTCCTTGCCTCCAGGATCTTACCATCTAATGGGTAATATGCATGCAAAAAAGGTATGACAAAATCCAGCGTGTCTGTATGTGATGAGAGTACACGAAAAGATATGAGAACCAAGAACTCATTTTCTGCTATGATGGTCTGAGAGGTTTTCATGAAAGATTTGAATGGAATTTGAGTTGAACAGTGAGCCTTGGAAGTAATTTTAAGAAGAAAAGAGGGGTAAAGATAGATCATTCTCCAGAGGGAAGTCTGAAGGACACAGCAAAAAATGAATAAATTGACTTGGCTGCATCAGAAAGTTCATATAAGGTGATAATTGTAATATTGCTAGATAAGTAGATGGGTGTCATACTGGAGTGGTGATTTTGTTTGCTAATCTAATAGTCTGTATTTAATTCAACAGACCATAGAAGTAGTGATTTTTTTAATTAAGGTTTTTTGTTTTGTTTTGTTTTTGTTTTTTGTTTGTTTGTTTTTTAAATTAAGCTGTCCTCAGAAGAGGTCAGCAGTCTGGATTCCAGGGGTATGGAATGGAGGCACAAAGCCCAGTTAGGAGATAACGGCTTTAGTCCAGGTGTGAGCTTACACACGCCTGCCTGCTCAAGGTTCCTGCCTGATGTGTGTTCTCATGGAGGCTGAGCATAGAATTTTCAGAGGAAGAGGAACCAGTCTGAAATGAAAACTGATTTTTTTGTGGGGTGGGAGGGAGATAGTGGGTCACCCTGGTAGAAGTTTCCAACGTTGGGTGAAAAATGTGGGTGATGCTTTAGTACTGGAAAGTAAGCAAAGTGAGGACTTCATACTGACTTTCCAGGTAAAAAGGGGGCAAGAAATGCTATTTGGAAGCCATTTTTTCCCCCTAACTAGTTATTGTTCATCTCTTACTAAGAAAGCAAAGACCGAGTTTCTTTTTAAATAAGAATAGGAAGAGGTAAGTGGAGTGGAAAGTTCTGGTAGTAGAATACTAATTAACCCCTAGGAAATTACTAGCAACACTCCCTGGATGGGAAATACATTTTCAGTGATGGTTAAAGAAACTCAGCAGTGAAAAATGGTTCATCTAAAGTTCAGACTCTAAATCCTTTTATTCTCAGCCATGACCCAGCCAGGCTGCTTCCCTTTGACTTATCCTTAATTTTCTGGGTATTAGTAACATCTCTGAAGAAGGTGATGGTGTGTGCCTCTGTTGATGCAATTAATAATTATCTTATTATTTAACCTCTTATGTTAAAAAATAGTTGCTTTTATTATTATACATGCCCTGAGTTAGAATGCTAAGTGAGCCAAATAATTTTGATAGGCTTATCTCAAGTTATAATGCACAGTTTTTAAAAAAATGGATATTTCAGTCATGCATACTTAGCCAATTTGCAGTAGTTATAAGTGGTTAGGTATTACTTCCTGTTGGATTAGCAGTTGCTGAGTAGTTGAGTCTTGGTACAATCCTGCAATCCACTAATGTGATATTTAATGAGGAGACATCAGTCTGGAGAAAGGTAGTCAATATAAATCAGTGTTTACAAAGTGTGATTAACTCTGAAATATTTCATCAATGCTGTGGTCCCAGACAGACTCTATGCTAATTACTAGAATCTGTGCATGTTTCAGGGGACTTAGACGGACCCTGAGTATTGCAAACATGGAGCAGCAAAATTGCAATTATGCTCGGACCGTCTCTGATGACAATTTATGCATTTGGTGTGATGACCTCCCCCTTCCCAAGAGGGCAATAAACAGAATGCATTTTCATTAAGATACTAATGCACTTAATCACAAGGGGAAAGGGTTAGGAAGTAAGGAAAGACCTCCAAGCACTGTGTGACAGAGCTGATAGGGGAGAGAGGCTTTATTTTAAAGGCAGCTTCTTTATAAAGCTGTAGGCAGCCCTAGAGCACATCCCACACACTGTCATTGGCATTAATTGAGAAAGAATTTCAAGTTAAAGTTTGGATCTTCTTCTGGCTACATATGTATCACTTCAAATGTGTAAGTAGGACCGTAAGTAATGTCAACTCTGACACTAAAAATATCGTTTGGTAGCAGTTTCTTTTTGTTTATAATACTTCCTTGGAGCTTGAGTGTTTGGAATTCATTATGCAAATGTAACAAACATGCTGATGACGACCAGCATCGTCATTGTCCTCCTTGTCCTCAATAAGAGAACTGTGTTGTAAGGCCTGGGTAAGCGTGGCCACGAGAACCATGTCATTTCCGTCCCTGCCCTCTAGGAGCTTACTGTCAGGCCCAGATTAGCCTGCTGATCATTTTTCACAGCGGGGTTTATGCTGTTTAGTGTCACAAGGACAATAAGCCTGATACATTGGAATATGAGTAACCAATAGAAATCCAGGACTGATGATACAAGAATATGATTTTGATGTTCATGCTTTTATGGAAATAATTTGCTTTGAAATTTCTTTGGGATTCTAAAATTCTGGAAGATTGTTACTTTGCATGGGTAGACTAAGCATAATGTTTTAAAGGCTAACTTTAAACTTGGTCTTTTGAGATCCTTTACCATGTATCTTCTAAATATTCCGTGCTTCTTTTTTTTTTTTTTTTTTTCTCTGAGAGAGGGAGAGAAAGTGGCAGGGGGGAGGAGAGGGGCAGAGGGAGAGGGAGTCTGAAGCATGGGGCTCGATCTCAAGTCTCAGATCATGATTTGAACCAAAGTCGAGAGTCAGACTGACTGAGCCACCCAGGTGCCCCTATTCGGTGTGTCTTACGCGGTTGCCACAGAATGTCCAGCTTCGTGACGTTTGTGACATCCTAACGAGTCTCGTGTGACTTGTGCTTTTGAGAAGGGAGGCGGACGTAACAGAGTAGGCATTGCCTTTGGGGTGCTCACGTTTCGTGGGTCTTGAGAATCTAACTGCTTTTCTTCCAACCCTGTGTTTTAGGTAATATAGAATACAGCTGCCCTGCCACGAATGAATGTGAAATCACCAAGCGCAGACGTAAATCCTGCCAGGCTTGCCGCTTCATGAAGTGTTTGAAAGTGGGCATGCTGAAAGAAGGTAAGGCGTGTTGTGGGGGGCCTGTGCTCTCGGTTGGGGACGGGGGAGGGGCGCGTGCAGGGAATCACGGAGACACTAGAGAAAACCAGGAAAAGATGGGGTCACAGTAAGCACTCCGAATCCGATGGCGGAATACATCTTTACGCCTGAGTTTTCTGATATGTCCTGGCTAACTGCATGATATCAACAGGAAGGGACAAGGTAGGAAACATCTGATGTGCAGCGAAACCCCCCAGGTGTGCTTGGTAATTCTGACTCTTTTCATCTTTATGAGTTGCAGAAGGCAAAGGACAAAGGACACCAAAAGGCTAGTCCTTGTCTTTTTGTGTTTCTTCTCATTTCTAAGTTTGCAGGGAGGTTTTCCCCTTCACCGCTGCTAAGATGTAATTGACAAATAAGAATTGTGTATATTTAAGGTGTGTGACTTGAAGTTTTGATATACGTATGTATTGTAAGATAATTGCCACAGTCAAGCTAATTAACAGATCCATCATTTCATATTGTCACCACTTTTTAAAAAAATTAATATTAGGTTTAACACACTCCTTATTTTTTTCCAGTCTTATCCTTTGGACTCAGGTTCTTTTCTAAAAAGCTTGTAATAATGATACTAAAATTGTTGCTTTCACTCAGGGGGAACACCAACAAACACAGAATAATAACAGTGACCAAGGATTCAGTGATGGCCTGAGCTCACACAGCTCACAAGTGGTAGAGCCAAGAACCGAGCAGAGGGTCAGATTCTAGAATTCACTGACTTCTTCCACCCATATCCAAGGTCCTGAAATATTCGTATATGTCAGCATGTCCAACGAAACTAACATTTTAGCTTGGAGCTAGGAAGAAGTTATTCTTTTCTTTGGAAAGCCTGGGTAGGTTTTTTGTTTCTGTTTTTATTTTATTTTATTTTATTATTATTTATTTTATTTTATTTTATTTTATTTTATTTATTTGACAGAGAGAGATCACAGTAGACAGAGGCAGGCAGAGAGAGAGAGAGAGAGAGAGAGAGAGAGAGAGAAGCAGGCTCCCCACTGAGCAGAGAGCCCGATGCGGGACTCGATCCCAGGATCCTGAGATCATGACCTGAGCCGAAGGCAGCGGCTTAACCCACTGAGCCACCCAGGCGTCCCTTGTTTCTGTTTTTAAATGCATCCCTGTCTATATGATTGTTTTTGTAGATGTGTGTTTCTTTTTTTATGGTTTTAGATTTTACTATCTCTTTCTCTTCAGAAAATTTTCCAGAGTTTAATATAAATATGATAATTTTATGAAGTGACAAAAGTTTGAAAGAAAATTAGGCAAATTACATTTAAATGTATTGCTTCTGTTGAGTCATAACATACACTTTGTTCATGGGGTTGGCCCTATTAGTTTATATATTTGGTCTTACTGGAGATCCCTTATTTTTTAACTTCTAAATGCAAATAGATCCAAGTGTTTATTCCCTAAGAACAAACCAAAGCTTCAGCAAACCAGGAATTGGCATTCCCAGATCTCATAATTTTTCCTGGTTTGTTCTTAATGGAAGAAAGGTGAGTGGATCACTTATATTTGGGGATATGGAATTCATGCCCCATTTCTCCACCCTTTACTAGACCACTAAGAACTAACCCCTCATTTGACGAGGAACAAAGAAGACCCTCTCAAACTCTTCTTATCTTTGACTCTCCTCTTCCCCTGGAGTGGGGTGGGGGGGGAGCTATAAACAAAGAGTGTATGACTTTATAATTAAGGCCTTATAAAAACATCACACAAGATATATTGTCAAGTAAAAAAATAATAATAAAAAAATGAAGGGGCACCTGGGTGGCTCAGTGGGTTAAAGCCTCTGCCTTTGGCTCAGATCATGATCCCAGGGTTCTGGGATCGAGCCCCGCATCAGCCTTTCTGCTCAGCAGGGAGCTGGCTTCCTCCTCTCTCTACCTGCCTCTCTGCCTACTTGTGATCTCTGTTTGTTGAATAAATAAATAAAATTAAAAAAAAAAAGTACAAGTTCACTAGTCATATGATTCAATGTATATATGAGTTTAGTTTTATATAAGAATATGTATTTGTATTAAAAATGTATAAACATGTCTATTTTAATAATTCGTATTAAAATATCTGTAGAGAGAAAAAGGAAAAAGAATGGTACGAGGGAGATGTGCTTCGTGATGGACTGTACATGGAGAAGTGGAAGTGGGATAAATGAGGATTGAGGACAGTGTGACACTATGAGTGCAACAAGGAGGGGACATATGAATACAATGCCCTTTCCTCCGCACAGCCTTTGGCACCGTTAGGATTTTTCATAGTTGATATATTTTACACTTATAATCCACTTGCTAAATATTTATTAAGTTTCTCCTGTGTGCCAGGCACGATTCTAGGCTCTAGCGGTGGGGCAGTGAGAAAGTCAAATATGGTTGTTCTTGCTAGAGAAAACTGACATGGAAGAGCCAGTGGGAGAGTTTTGATAAAGGAAGAAATATGTATAAAAACCTAACCATAATGACCCAACCCACAAGAGGAGGAATTTTCCTTTGAGATAGAATGGTGGTGACAGCTTACTCCTTTTGAGGTTAAAACTTTGTCTTGGTAATTGCCTTAAATCCTGTTGGAGATAACAAACAAAACCTCGTTCACAGTAACGTGATAAGTAATTGATGGTCCATTTCCGGTTGTTATATTGCCACTTAGGTGAGGTGTAGAGACTCACACTGAACTTAAAGCTCATTCAGAAACCGTTAATTAGAAGTTGGGAATTGAGGAATAATGTTCAAAGAACAAATCCATTTTTTAAAGTGTTATAAAAGTAATATATCAATTAGCACTTTGGATTGATGCGTCCTAGATGTGGATTTTATTTTCAAAAACTAAAGTACATGGAGATGTGTTTCCATTTACAGGTTGATAGAATTTATTGACTAGTTTAATTTTACTACTACGATTTTTTCACCTCTTTGCACTCCCAGGTTTATGGATGAAGTGAAAACAGAAATAAAGTGTCCCTTAAATAATTTCCCCCTAAATAATTTCCCTCATTGTGGTTTTTAAGCAGGAGCACTCTGGAAGGTGGTTAGAGTGACCCAGGAGGTGTGAACTGTGTTTAATTAAACAATATTGGTGAAAGAAATGGGCCGGTGCTTATCTGTAATTCACACCTCTTCAGTTGCTGTTATCAAGCCTTTAGAGGGTCTGTTTTCAAGGGAATTGCTGCTGTTGCTGATATACTCAAATAATAATTTATTTTCCTTTACTTCCTTATGCCCACTTTGATGGGAAAATGCCAGTTCTCTAAGCCCCTCCCTGCAAAAGGATGGCTATGAGTAAATACGGAATATTCCTTTTCTTTTGTACTTAAAAATGTAGTGAAATATTGCACTGCACCCTGCATATAAATACACAATTATGTTTGGCCATCTCCTTGGCTCAAGACTGGCCTCCTCAGCCTGGAGAGAATGATACTGTCTTAAATGTATCTTTATGGATGGAGAGGGATTTCGGTCCCGTGCAGTATGTCAGGGATCATGATGTAGTAAATCTATTCAAATGTAAACCTGTTCAATTCAATTACCAGTCCATAATAAAATTTGCTGCTACAACCCCCGTGTTGACCACAGCAGTCCATGCAGGCTGATGGCACAGCAGGCCTGGAAATTGACAGACAAAATCTATTTAAACAAAAAACAACATTAGTTATAGAATCTGAAATGAAATCAGATTTCAACAGCTTTGATGGGAACCTTCTTTCCTTTAACAGGTATTTTTATTCAACTAGCCAAATACATCTTCTATCAAGGGCTGCCTGAGGGAAATAAAGAAGTTTTCATGAAAAAGGTGGTTTATAGAAAAAGGAGACTTTACTCTTTTAAAAACGATAATCCCTAGTTTTATCGACTGATGTTTCTACTAATGATGTAGGGTGCCAAAGGGAAGTGATGGCTTAGTGGGCAGATGAGTCCGGTTGCATCACATTGTGCATCGTTAAATTCTTACAGGCTATGCCTTCTCGTTAGCCAGTGCCGGAATTATGTCTGAATGAACTACATCGGATTTTAACATTAGAATTTTTTTTCAAAAGACTTTATTTATTTATTTGTCAGAGAGAAAGAGCACAAGTAGGGAGAGCTGCAGGCAGAGGGAGAAGCAGCCTTCTGGAGCCTGATGTGGGGCTCGATCCTAGGACCCTGGGATCATGACCTGGGCAGAAGGCAGATGCTTAACCGACTGAGCCACCCAGGTGTCTCTAGATTTTTTTTTTTTTTAATACGTTTGTGGAGAGATTTGTTTTTCAAAGATTTTATTTATTTATTTATTTAACAGATAGAGGTCACAAGCAGGCAGAGAGGCAGGCAGAGAGAGGAGGAAGCAGGTTCCCTGCTGAGCAGAGAGCCCAATGCGGGGCTCGATCCCAGGACCCTGGGATCATGACCTGAGCCGAAGGCAGAGGCTTTAACCCACTGAGCCACCCAGGCGCCCTATGTCTCTAGAATTTTTAGGTCAAAAAATCGTTACCATTAGAAATGAATGATTGGTTGTGTGGAGAAAATGGCAGAGTGCCGCAACATTTAAAAACAAAAACAAACAAACAAACAAAAACTTCAAGAAGCACAGTTTAAAAAAAAAATGATAGTTCATTCAAATCCAAGTGGTCACACCATTCCACATCCTGAAAAACATCCCCTTTTCTTTTTCTGGGCTCTACTTTGCTGGTAAGCCTCACGAATGATGGGCCAGCATTAGTTTTTCGGCATTATGCCATACTGTATGTCAGCGAAACCCCATCTATTACAAGATATCTGGTCTCAACATTCCCTTTTCATTTTTTTCAGGTATTGCTTATTTGAAGGAAAAAAACAAGAACTAATCAAGGTGTACCTATAAATCTGGTCAAGATTTATTTTTATTTTGATCTCTCTCCTTGGTTATTTAAAGGCTATTGCGGGATATACTGGTTCGGTTTACACTCTGTCAGTGGCAAAGAGAGACATTTTATGAAAGCAGTAATTATTTTA